ACCGTGACCGGGATGCACCACGCCCTAGCGCAGCGCCTCCTGGACTCGACCGGGATGACTCCGGAGGTCGTCAGGGACGTCGTCAGACTGCATCAACAGCTGCGCCACGAGACACTGAATCTGGTCGACTTCTTTGCGACCAACCTGGTGCACATCCTGGCCTGCTCGTTCGTCGACGCCGTCCTGTCCGTTGTGCAGGTTATTTTCGGTGCAATCAGAGGCACGCGCTCATGCAGACGACGGCCAGGACAGCCGTGCCAGCGGTGAGCGTCGCGAGCGACCTCTACTCGGCGTTTTCGTGCTCTGTCGTGGCCCGCCAGCCGCGCTTCTGGAACATCCTCAGCGAGATGAGGAGACTCGTACAGGTCATGGAGGACATACCGGGTGAGAAGGTGCGGTGGGCGACTGGGCGGGGGCGCATGGCGAGCAAAAAGAGGCGTTTGTACTCCCCCGCCCCTTTTGAACTTGCAGGCGTGGGTGGACTCCACTCGCGGTCACATTGCAATCCTGAGCAAAGGTTTCTTTGCCAACGCTTTTCTTGTGTTGGTATGCGTGCTGGCGGACATGCTGCTCTCGGACAAGCCGATGCTCTCCCTCTGGCCGTTCGTGCCCCACGCGGGGTCCTGGGGAGTGCTCGTCGGCCGCCTGTTCTGGGGTACCTCAGCAACCGTCTGCGTGGCGACCCTTTCCCACGTGCTGGTCACCCTGATGTGCGTCACCACCACCGTGACCGGGATGCACCACGCCCTAGCGCGGCGCCTCCTGGACTCGACCGGCATGACTCCGGAGGTCGTCAGGGACGTCGTCAGACTGCATCAACAACTGCGCCACGAGACACTGAACCTGGTCGACTTCTTTGCGGTCAACCTAGTGCACATCCTGGCCAGCTCTTTCGCAAACACCTTCCTGGCCGTTGTCCAGGTTATTTTCGGTGCAATCAGAGGCAATATCAGGGACTAGTTGGGGGGGGGGGGGCGGTGGGGGAGGGTGCAATTTACTGATATTTTCTCACCCATAATTAATCTGACTCTTACAGGTCTTGACCACTGGATTCCCCCACTTTACCCTGTATGTCTTTCTAATTCAGAGAATTTTTGAAATTTTTTGTCGGCACTTATTGGGGGAAAATGCTTACGGGCGTGATATCTCTGCCGGAATTAATTATAAAAATCTAAAAAATATTTGCGCACTAACTAGACTAAAGTAAAGCGGACACGTTTTATGGCCAATAGGGAGGACTAATGTTGATCGAAGGAACTGGTCTGTCCGGTGGAGCTCCTATACCCGGTCTTTAAAATTCAATTTCAAATTTCCTCACGGACTCACTTTCGGAGAATTTTGAGCAAGTGTAATGGTAATACAGGTCACACACAAATCATCCGTAATCCTGATATCAGAACTGAAAACTTTTACCTTCGGGTAGAGACAGCAAATGGGGACTATCTAAAAAAAAATCAAAAACTTATTTACATGACTTGTTACCTGCAGCCAGAAAAATCGTTAGACTCAAGTAAATTTTTCCTTGTTTCAAGTACACGCTGACACAAGACAAAATTGACTCTTGAAACAAGCTGATATTTCCTTTCGAATAAGAGAAAAATATTATTCTAATGACAAAATCGCCTTCGTTTCAATGGTGAATTTCATCTTGTGTCAGCTT